GAGAGAGGACACAAGGTCCCCTCGGGCAGGTGGGTGCTGAAGGCCAGGGAGGTGGAGCAGAGCAAGGGGCAGGTGAGACTCACGGGGCAGCTGGGGGACCCGGCCAGGCTCAAGACCCCACAGGACAGAGCAGGGATGGTACAGGCCACTGTCAGGAGAGCCGGGGTCTGGAGGCATCTGGGCGGATGCCAGTGAGGCGGGCCCAGGATGTGAGCAAAGGCCAGAGAGGAGAGCAGACTGGGCAGGACCAGAGCCCCAGGGATCAGGCACTTCTGCCCCTTCCCTAATGGCTCCCCTGTCCCCTGCCTTCAGTCACTGCACCAAGTCTTACGCGCTGGGTGAGTGGTTTTCATGTTAAGAAAATACTGTGCTACTTACTACGTTAGGGGTGCTTTGTTTTGCATTCTCTTATGTTTTCATCATCATAAAAGTTATTCGATTCTATTAAATTATTATTCTACATCTATGTAGATGACCATAGAGGTTTTTTCCTCAATATATAAATCGGATGAACTGTAAATATCACTTCTTCTTTTCCTCTTGTACTATATTTGTCCTTTGGTAACAAGTTTATTTCACTAAAAGTACTGCACATTTCTTTCTTACCTCTATATTAGTGAAAGATATCTATTATTTTTAAATTTTCTAAAAAAATTAAGTATAGCATATCTCTGTTTCCACCCCAGAGGCAGTCATCTGGGCTTCCTGCATCTGATCTTCATCAATCTCCTTGGCCGCTTGTCCTCAAGGCGCACTTTTGGGGATGCTAGTTGCATTTCTAAAAACTAATTTGTTGCTACAACCACTGTTTTCCCACTTCTGTTTTTCTGACTTTATTCTGATGCTATTTTTCAAATTTTCTTTTTCTGTATTTTTAGCCAAAGTTTTTCAAACTTCCATATTTTATGTTTATGAAATACAAAGCGTATTGCCATTATTTTAGAAGATGAAGTAAAAGAGGTAACTGCCACCATCATATCCATCATCACGGGATTGTTTAACCTTTTATAATGTGTTACACATCACTTTCTTAAGAATAAAAATAATAAAGGAAGGAGGAAATTATTTGGTTGCTTTGTGACAATACATAAAATGGTTTCTAGAAAATCTGAGTTACCAAAACTGGCTCAAGTAGATTAGTATAGCAAAATATATCAAAATATTTTAACATCAATGATAAACTTAAAATAGGGTAAGGATCTAAAACAAAAGAATGAAATGTCTATAAATATAAATATGTAGAAAAGTATTAATTGAGATAAGTAAAAGCATTTTGTCTCTCAGACTGGTAACAGGGCTATGAAGGTTACTACAACTCAGGGCAAACGGCACTATTCTGGAGTGGTTACCAGTGCAATAAGGTCTGACGAAAAGGATATAAAATTTGAAAAATATGAAGAAAGACCTTTATTTGTAGAAAACATTGGGACCACAAAAAATTATTTTTAAATTTACAAACTATTAGAAATAATAATTCATTTGTATAGATAACCAAAAATAGAAAATGAAATTAAAATACTATTTGTGTTATCACCTGACAGAATCCCTTAATTAGGGATAATTCTTACCAAAACATCAAGACCTTCACATGGAACAAAAAGTATTACTTAGAAAAATCATGAATGCCATAATAAGTGGGGCAGTGCACCATGTGAAGGATCAGAAAATTCAGTAAGTAATCTAGACTATATATCTGTTCTATTTATTGTGATTGCAATAAAAATCTTGGTTATTGCTCAAATTCATGTAGAAGTTCCAAGGGTCTAAAAGCATCCTGACAAGCTATAAGAAGAAGGAAGGGGATGCTACCGGACAGGGGTGGATATCCAACATGTGAAAGGCGCCGACTTTGCGTGGCGCCAGGGAAATGCGAGCGGAATCTGCTACCACCTGGGAGGTGCTCCGGTGGGAGAGGGGCGTCGGCGAAGAGACGGTTGAGGAGGCAGAGGACCTGGGGGTCAGAACCAGCCACTGTACGAGACTGTGGTGGCAACAACGATGGTGCAACCCAGCAATCCCACCACAGAGCACACAGCAGGAAGCACAGACGCACCGCCCGAGGACCGTGCAGCACCGGGCACAGCACCCCTTGCAGTCACCCCAACCCGGTCACAGCTATGCGGGCTCCACCCCGTGTCGGACAATCCTCCACGCAACGGAATGTGCACGTGCGTCACAGGGGAACAAGGTAGCTCGCTCTGCACGATTCCACCTTCCTGCCACTCGGATTAGGCAGAGCCTTCTGAAGAGAGAACGGCAGCTGCCTGGGGGAGGATGGAGTGGACAGAGATGGGGCGTCTGGCTGGTCTGGATGACGTTCTCTCTATTTCTGGGCACTGTAGACGCAGGCTGCTCTCTGCATGCCAGCCACGCCTTGCAGTGTGTACTAGGTGCCAGGTGAGCCAAATGTGCACCTGCTGTGTGTTTCCCGTCTTGGAAAACGTCCTGAGACTCCAGCAGGAAATGTGACAAATGTCAGTCTCTTTCCACTTGGATGAAAAACTCCTGAAAATCAAAGTGGCAGATATGATAGGACTGCGGAGGGGAGGCTAAAAATAAAGTAGAAGATGGTGTCGTCCCTGAGGACCTCTGGGTCGCATATGCCACTGGCACATGAGGGAAACACACGGTACTGTGCTCCCTGCCACAAGTTCTGCCATGCAGGGCAGGGAATCTGGCCATTGCAGAAGGGCACATGGCCTGACTCTGCCCTCTGGTGGCGCAGAGGTCCCTGTCAGCCCCAGAGAAATAAGGAAGGGGCTTGAAATACAAGCAAGGACGGGAATTCAGTGCAGAGCGAAGCACAAAGGCAAGGCAGGAAGTCACTGAATGATACTGTCAAATGTCAAAATAATTCACAATGAAAAAATTATAAATAAAGACAACAGGGGCCAGGGATTTACTTCAGAAGCATCACGCCTGCCTTGCAAACACAAGGTCCTGAGTTTGATCCCTGGCACTGGAAAAAGAATATGCAAAATCATAAATACATACAACACATTGAACATTTTGAGACTTTTTCCCCAACCAAATAGGCATAGGTTAAAATGATCTTGTTTAGTCTGAGTGAGGAGGAGGAGACTGGTGCCCTGTAGCTGTGGCCGCAGACACTTCTCTTAAAGCGCTTTGGTAATGACGAGCTGGAAATGCGTCCTAAGAAGTACTGCTGCACTGGGGATCGGGAAGGCGGTTACTCTGCTTATGACAGCGGGAAATTGAAAACAGCCCCAATGCCCCAGGGTACCCTGTAAACGGAGCATGGTCATTTGGGCAACGGAGCCCTATCGAACAGCCACATAGAACGAGGTAGAGTACGAGCAAAGACGTAAGAGTTTGACCATTCATTGACTAAAAGAAACTTTAGCGCATAATTTTTATAAAAATATTTAAATAAGTATATAATTCAAATTTTACATATCTGCCTTTGAATAAAAAATAAGAAAAATATACACCATATTTTCAATGTGGGTATCATTGGGTCCTGGGATTACAGTAAACTTGTTTTGGGACTTTTCTTTTTCTGTATCTGATTATTTCACACGGGAAGAAGGTCATCTGAAGGCCATAGCAAAGACCTTGAGTTGGCTTTGCTTTTCATGAGCAGCCATAGTTTAAGGGTGAATCGCCACGATCCGGTCTGTCACATAGAAGTACTTGCCACAAGACAAGTGAGAATTCCATACACTTGAGTTAGCAAGTGGCTCCCTTGCTTTTGATGGCTGATGTGCGGATATCTTGACGTTTCCTCCAGTTATCTACAAAAGGGAGGGGAGGCTCCACTAGATCTGCGGAGAGGGGCCCTTTAAGAGCTTAGCTCCTGGCCAGCTCAAGGCGGCCTGCACATCCACTTGCTTGTGCCGTGTACTCTGAACACATTGCCCAGGCCGTGCACAGGGCTGGGGAGTCAGCGCCCACCAGGACAGCCCAGACACCTGCCTTCCTCCTCTTCCCCATGTTTGCTATCCCCATGTTTGGGATCTTGAAGGTTCATCAAAAAGCGGTTCATACCTTCTCTGATCACTAAACCAGATCTTTAACCTGTCACTGCCAGCACTGAAGAAAAATAAACAGGAGAGGCTAAGGAGCTGCTGTCTTTCCTGAAGGGGATGGTTAGGGGGACCTTGACGAACTGACCACGCTCCATTTGTGTCGCTGGTTAGGTCTGCCTCAGCTCCTCAGGACAGATTCCCTTCAAGTACACCACCTGATGTAGCTTCCACGGGACAGTTAGGAGCAAAACTCCTTTGGCGCGCACTCTATAGACCTGCAGAAGAGGAGCTGAAACTCAGGAGGGCACACTGCTGCCACCATGCGGCTCGTGGCTCTGATGCTGCTCGTGCGGTGCACATGTCTGTTGCCTTTCACATGAAGCAGGGCAGTGCTCAGATGAAGCACACCGAGTGTCTCAGGGAAATGTTCACACAAAAAGCCAGGCCGAACTGATCACCGTGTTTTTCTACTGGGCTTTTAATTAACTTCAGCCCAGGCAACTGCTTTACAGCGTATCTATTAAAACGACAAAGCTCCTCTGCACCTGAGTGTTCCATAGCCAGACACGCTGCAAACCCTGAGAAACTCAAAGGCGACTTCGGAACAGTTGTCTGGAGGCCTGAAGCCAGACCTGCACACTTGCTGAGCTCTGTTTCTTCTTGAAAATGAAAAAAACACTTATGATTTAAATCTTATTATGGATACACAGTACCAAATTCAACTTGCACTAAGACATTTTTAATACTTAAAAATAATCCTGGTCTCCATATGAGTGATGAAGCCTTCATGTTCAAGTGGAAAGTGTAGGGAATTTTGTGTGCATAACCAACACAGTAACTAAGATCTTGTAGTCCACTAGCAAAGTGAAGATCAGATCTCACATTTATACTAACACAATTTTAACTTCAGTACTGTATACGCGTACTTCCAATGATTTTATTTTCCCAATGTCATTACTAAAAATTGTTTACATTATTGAAGAATGACTCAGCCACCAGCACACACTTGGGGGTAAGTTGAATACTAGGTGGGTTAATTCAATATAAGCGCTAGTAGTTTCCCCTTAACTCCCTCAGTAGGAAGGAGTTCATGCCTTAAACTAAAGAGAGAAGCTCAGAAATCAGACAGCATGGACTCTCCTCGTGGAGGAGCAGAAAATTCCTCCAGAACGGCAGGGTGAAACATGCAGAGAGTGTTCTTCGACACTGCTGGCAGCTCTGTGGGAAGAGCTGTGCATTATTATTTCTTCTCATCACTCTCTGTTCATCCCCCTTCGCCCTTCGGTATTACAATGTTAATGAAGTCCTGGGTTCGACACCTCATCCCCTGGCTGCATCCAGGGACAGACAGAGCCTGCTCTCGTGCTAGGGATGGAAACCACAAGGGAAATTCTGAGAGCAAAGTCAGAAACCCTGAAAGAAACGGCTGTTTGTGGGGAGTAATTCCAAACTAACTTCAGGGCCTTCCTCTGGGCATGAGAAAATGTGAAGCCCGGAAGTTCTTTCTGTGTCTTTTCTGGCCACTAAGAACTTTCCACACGCACTGGCTTTCTCAGGGGGGGAAGCGGGAGAGAGGCTGAGGGCTCACCGCAGCCCAGCCCAGTCTGTGCAGGCCAGAGAGGCACAGACAACAGGAGGCATGAGCTGTGGTGACTGTGGGAAAACTCACTGGGCTTAGGGGCACTTGGTCATGCAGCAGAAGCAACCTCTCTCTTTCCCTCTCTCTCCTTCCCCTCTCTCCTCTGTTGCATATATCTTAGCACAAGATTTCGATGGCCAGCTGAGTGAGGCTGCGACACCTTCAGCTGCAGCTTGGTATTTTGTTCCATATTCAGACCTTTCCTCACAGAGCGCATGGCTCCTCTGTCTCCCATCGCTGAGGCCGAAGCCTAGCAGTACCTGATGGTCCTTCCCGGGTCGGCCTCCACGGTCCAGGTGCAGTGCAGGTTGTTGTCGTAGGGGGCCGGGTAGCCAGGGGACAAGATGCGACCGGATGTAGCTGTGTGGATGTGACCTCCACATTCCGCTGCAAAAGACACAGTTGGGGTCCGTTGTCTAGGTTTCTTCTGTGCATTTGTTTTCTCTTCTAACCCAGGGCCTTGCACAGGCAAGGCAAATACTCCTGTGACCTCTGCAGCCCCCTTTCTATTTTCGTTTTGAGACAAGGTCTCACTAAGTGAGGCTCAGGCTGGCCTTGAACTTGTAAATCCGCTGCCTCAGCCTGCTGGGAAGTTGGCACCACAGACCTGCACCACCATATCTAGGTTTAGTTTTACTTAATTTTTAAAAAAGAAAACTTTCATGTCCGTATGACAGACTCAGAAAAAACACACAATCTTCCATCTGTATCATTTCTCCTTTACCTTGACAATAAGATTTTATTCCCCATGAGATCGAAGCTGTGCATGTAAAGAAAGCAATGGCACCCACACTCGTGATAATTCCAGTAATCACTGCACAGGAAATCTGTCTTTCAAACCAGAGTGTGTGCGCGCACACACACACACACACACCCTCATAGCAGTGCAGGAGCATAGTGACTCTTCTTCTGCAGGAGGGAGGAGCCCGCCCACCCGGGTAGGCTGGCCCGTGCACTCTGCAGGCCTGGGCCACTGGCACTCACCTACACAGGAGGGCACTGGCTTGTCCCACACCCTCCGGTCCCCACTGAGGCAGGTGAGCGTGCTGCTGCCATGCATGGCATAGCCAGGGTTGCAGCTGTACAGGACCACGGTGTCTGTGAAGTGGCCCTCGTCACGGATCCGGTAGCCGTAGTTGGGGCTGCCAGGGTCCTTGCACTTGATCAGATCAAAGCCTACAAGAGAGGAGGGAAGAGTGAGTGGATCCTGGGTGCACGCAGGCAGCCAGAAGACAGGCGAGGGAGTAAGTGCACACACACACACACACGCACACACACACACACACACATGGGTGTAAATGCAGGGCGTGGAGCATCGCTGTGTCCCCAACAGAGTAATGGAGCAGTTGTCCAAATTCTCCAGAGAATCAGTGGGATGTAAAGACACACACACACACACACACACACACACACACACACACACACGTTTGCACACCTGCTAGGGTGAGGAGAGCCCAGAGAAGCCCACTTGCTGTGGCTATGTCTCATGCCAGCAGTGAACAGGAAGCTCACCAGAGACTATCACGTGGACACCAGCAGTGCAAGGACAGCACTGGCCCTGGACATCACTGTGCGCTGTCAGGAGCTCACAGCCATAGGCTCCTGTGTACTTTACAGACATTAATGCTTACGATGTTATTCAGAATATGTGCCACTCTACATGGAGAGTGCTTGCTACCAGAACTCTGAAACCGAAACTCTACATTCACTGTAAAATTACCTAGAAGAAGCCTTTCCCTTGCCTGTAAGCTTGGCTTGAAACTTTTATTTGGTCAAGGAAGGAAGATATGGAAAAAAAGTGAGCAAATAAATTTATATCAGTAAAAATGTCCCCTATGCTTTGTGGGGTGGGTTTCTCTAGGGAATTGTTGGTTGTACTGTGTTCTGGAAAGCTATTTTATAACACATCCCGGCCTGCCCACCACAGATGCCGGGTTACTCGCAGCTGCACAGTCTTGTGCCCTGCAGCTGCTCTTGCCTTTCCTCACACTCTGCTGTTTCCAAAGGTCACTCAGAAGCTGACCACATGATGAAAGTTATTCTGTATAATTCCCCTCACTTGATTCCCAAACAGCACTCCGGAGACCCAGATGTGTGAAGTACATTCTTCTCTGTCAGGGGTTAGGAAGTATTTGGCTTTTCCAGTTATTAATGGACCGAAGAGAACTTTGTTCTCCCAAAACCGCCCAGCCTGTGAGCATTCATGTGAGGCTGCAGAGGGAGTTGTCACACTTCCACCTGCTGGAAGCCGTGAAGGAAATCACCAGGAATTGAGCTGAGCCCTCAGGGAGGATGACACTGCCTCGCGGCCTTGTGTGGCCCCTGGAGCTGAGATCAGGCCCTACCCCATAGCCGCAGACCCTGGCTCTGTCCCCACTGTCATGTGGGGCATCTTTCATACCGACATGAACCAAGCTTTGCTCATGTGTGTAAAGAGCAGTACACAAGCATCATCTGCTGACACCCAACACTGCTTCTCAACATTGATAAAGCAACTGGACCTGATGCATAATAGCGGAATTCTGAGGAGGCAATGTGCAATCCTGAGATGCCCATGTACTGCTTCAGGAGAGGCTTTTGCTGTGAGTTTTTTTTTTTTTTTTTTTTTTTTT